TCTGTATAGCTCTGGAAGAGCAATCATGGGGACCTTCCAGCGGTCTCAGATTTTGGGCAAGGACCTGACTTAGCCAAGCTGGGTGAACTCCCTTTCTCATGTACTGGCCACCCCTACTCCGTCTGCTTGTTACATGACCTGTTCAGGGAGCATCTGCATGGCTGCCTCCTCCTATTCACAGTGAAGAAGGCAGAGGTTGGTCTGTCTCATCACTTGGATCCAACACTTCTCTGGACCCTTAGGACTTGAAAGATGAAAGACCTGAGGGATGAAAATGACAGAGGAGGGTACCCTCCTCCCTAATGCTTTTTCACCAGGGTCAAGCCTGCACTTGCTGCCTTCCCTGGCTAAGACCCCTATGGAACCAGGCCCTGTGGCCATGCTGGGGCTGCTGCTCTCATCCCTTATTTGTATCCCTTATGTGTAAGAAGGAGGAAGATCTGCAGAGCTCCTGAGAGGCTCAAAATGATGGGGGTGGTATCTAAAATTTCCTGTGGGTCCTAAGACCCTTCTGCTCTCTCTGGGCTAGTGGCCCCTCAATATTGTGATGGAGGGCTTTAGAAATATGTAACTCTGGGGTGGTCTCAAGCTGGAGGTCTTAGAGGACTGTTCCAGGAAGCCTTAAGGAATCTGGTGATAGCTCAGGCTGGACTTTTGGACCCTCATGGGGTTAAAATGGCTGTTTCTCTCCAGAGATCATGGGACCCTGCCAGAGGGCTGGAGATCTTGGGCAAGGATCTGAAATGACTTTCAGCCCCAACCCTCTCTCCTAGGCTGAGTACTTGGTAAGCTCTTGCCCCACAACTACTGCTTGCCTTAAAGTATGTCTTGGCTAGTGGTACCTCTGCAGAGCTAGGGTTGGGGGAAGGGGATCTTGGGGATCTAGTGCAAACAGCTTTGGACAAAGCTGGGAATTTCCACTCCTATCTAGAGAGCCATCAACACTATGTGCCCTGACCTGAGCCTTTGGCCTCTAAAGGGCAGTGGGTAGGCTGGCCCCAGGGCCAATCCCTGGCCATTAATCCCTCCTGCCAGCCTGAATATCCACCCAATGCGGTCAGACAAAAGACTGCCCAGCCCAGCCACTGTGTTCCTCCCGCCCCAGGGGCTCCACTCAGACACTGGGCTGCCTGGAATCCAGGCCCAAGAGAAAGGGGCTGCCTTCACTGGCCATCTTATGCCCGGATGCTCAGACGCATCACATCCAGCCCAGGGCCTGTGAAAAGAGGGTCCAGCCACGCTGAAAACACGGATTAGCCCTTGGGCCGCCCCCTGACACTGCCTGCTCGGCTCTGGGAAGCAGGCCCATTGGAGGGGGCCAGACAGGCACAAAGAACTAGAAAAAGTCTATGTTCTCACTCTTTTGGCCCAGCTCCCTGCCCCCACCCTCCTTAGGGATTAGCACAGCCAACTAAACATTTGGTATCATTTATTGAACATATACTATGTCCCAGGTTGCATATATCGATTAGAAAATTGAAAGTACAAGAAAACTGCTGTTGGCCATAGGAAGTAGTAAGAGCCAGTTTTACCCTAATCCCTTCACTCTCTGAAGGTATAAGAAAGAGACTGTGGGAGCTGGGCATTTAGCTCAGTGGTGCCACCACCTGCCTCTCAGGCACAAGGTCCAGAATTTGATTCCCCAATAAGAGAAAAAGAAAGAGGGTGTGATGGAGCACTTCTTTGGAGGGGCTGCATCCCTAAAGGGAAATGGGATAGGGGATAGCTTAGGTGTCATCAGTGCATCACTTGCCTGAGTCTAGTGCAGGATTATGCTGCACCTGAATGAAAAGATGCCCTGTCTCTCCCCCTGTCCTTCTGGTTAATACTAGAAATGCCTGTTGTGCAGTCAGGGAAGAGGAACCTCTTACCAAGTGCCAATGTGGACCAAGATCTGTACAAGATCTCATAACAAGGTTGAGAAAAGATGTTATTGCATCCATTTGACAGGTAAATGGGCTCAAATAAGAGGTCACACTGCTCTTAGAACTGGATTCCATGCCGCTATGGTTGCTTGTCTTGCACCCCTCTCAGCGAGCTCTCTGGGATGACCGTGCTGTACTGTGCTCCTTATGGACTGCGCCAGTGCAGTAGAATGGGAAGTAGAGAGGGTACTGAGGCAGAGACTGTTCCCTGTTTCAGCATAAACCTGACTAATTCTTTGTCGGTGAGGGCAGGGCACTTTCTCTAAATCTTCTTCCTCTGCATCTACAGCCTCCTGACCAACTCTCTCATAGCTTGTCACTGTCCATCTCTCCCCTAGGTTGTGGATCTCATATCTCTGTCTTGCCTTGAGCATTCCCAAAGGGCCTGGCCCCAAGTGCTTGGTAAATGATGCAGGCTGAACTGGGGCCAGAACTGAAAGAAAGATAGATTGGAGATGGCGTGACACTGATAGGACTTGATAATGTCCTGGATATAGGGACTGAGGCAGGAGAAAAGGGTATCCATTTGAGATCTGGAATGCTGGTAGGAGAGCAGGATGAGATTGGAGAGTCTGTTGGGTTAAGCAAGAGACTGTTCATTTCATTGAACAACCATGTGGTAATGTTGACCAGGTCAAGAGAGAGGCAGGAGTCAACTTTAGCAGCTGAAGTGTGGGGAGCTGCAGGGACTCCAAGCTAACTTATCCTAAAAGTCTCTGCTTTAAAGGGTGGTATTTGAAGAGTGGAGGAGCCACTGCTTTGACCTCAGCTCTGCCACTATTATCTGTGTGAAGTTAACTGCTTAAATTCTCAGAGCCTTAGCTTTCTTATTCACAAAATGAGGACTGGAACACTTCACAGAAATGCTCCAACTTAAGTAAAATAATATATCTAACGTGGTCACCAAATACAGAATGCTTAGTCATAGTGACTATGATATTACCTGTTTCCACTGGTGTTGGGAGAAGGCCCTGTCGCTCTAGCCTGGAGTTGGAATTTTGTTGCCCTACACAGGCCAGTTGCAGTTAGCTTTGGTCATCTGTAGGGGCATAAGGCACACTTCATCAGGGCTGGACTAGGGTAGGACAAGTCCCAAATTTCCACAGGCCCTGCCCTTCAAACGCAGACCCTGCACTTGGAAGCCTCCAGGGTCCCTTAAATTTAGGATGGTAGGCCCCTCACTTGCCTCACTGTACTCTCAGCCCTGCTCCATGTCCAGATTCCTTGATCTTGCCTGTCCGCAGGAGAAGGAAAGTCTTTAAGGTAAGCTTCCTTTGCCTTTCAGTTCCCTCTGGGTTATGGTAGTGGGTGGTAATTAACAAAAACTGCCAAGTCCCCCCCTAACTCAGTGAGCAGACAGAGTGGATCAGAAAGCAGCTCTCTCATACCATCAGTATGGAGAGACTTCTCACACAGGTAAGTGTTCCTTGAAACTCAGGGGGTGGTGCAGAGCTGTGTTAGAAGAGCAATTTAAAATTGTGGAGATCCTTGATTTAAAGCATCTGGACTGCCTTTATAATTTTGATTTCTCAACGATGGCTCATGAGGCTGAAATAAGGCCATGAGAGGAATGTGGGGGAGGAAGCACAAGAAGAGATGGTGACCTTGACCTGGGTCTCCAAATATGAGAGCAGCCCCTGCTCTTCTCTGTGACCTTAGCCCTAGCTTCCCAATATCCAGTATCAGGCCTGACAGGTCCGTGACCAGCCACAAAGGGCACACTGAGGGTTGGCAAGACTTCTCATCCCTGTTCCAGCTGGGTATGGAAGAATGGCAGAGGGATGGAGCTGACCCGCTTGCTGGGAGGAGCAAACTGGTGTAGGGTCCAGGAAAGTGCCCTGAATGGGTAGATTTGTGGTTGGGACTGACCCAGAGGGGGAAAAGGGAGGGGCAGAAAGAGACGGATCAAATGCCACGGGATGGGACTGACCCAATGGAGGAGGGGAAGGGATGAGGTAGGGTCTGGGAAAAATGGACCCAAAGGGAAGAAAGTCCAAGGGAAGGAGGGGCGAAGCAGCGGAGGGGGCTGCGAGCGTGGGAAGGGGACTAGCGAGGCGAACTGGAGGCGCTGGCCCGCAGGGAAGGTCCTAGCCCTCTATCTGGGGGTGGTGGGGCCCTGTCCATAAAAGGCCAGTCCACGGGCCCTGCACTCCCCAGCCACGGGCAGGAGTCGCCGCATCCCCTTGACCCGGTGCAACGACATGGATCCGCCCGCTGCCTTCTCGGGTTTCCCTGCCCTGCCTTCGGTTGCGCCGTCGGGGCCGCCGCTGTCGCCACTTCCCGCGGCC